CCCTTTGTCGAATGTTTTCTATGCGTTTGAAATTGAATTTGCTGTTTGATTTGCTCGACTTCGCCGGCTGAACCTTTGCGGGCGAAACATTTTTCGAGCATGAATTACCGAACAAAAGGTCGAAAGGGAAAACGTTTGATTCTTTGGTTCGAAATTCAATTTGAGAGTCGAATATTTGTACAAGAAACGATTTCCAGAATCAAGATCTCCAGTTAGTTTCATTTTGGATTCCAACGCGAAGGCTGTTCGTTCTGTCCCTATCTGAGGTCTGGTTACACATTGTAATCCCGTGGCGCCGGATTTTGTTTGCTCGTTCTAATATTCCCGGTGTTGACACTGCTGATTGACCCCAGAACACTTGCCGTGTCAGGCAAGACGCTTGCTCGAAGCATTCTCTATCGTCCCGTCGCACCTTGAGCACTAATTACATGCAGTAGCTCGTGTTTAGTCGCTCGACAGCCAACCAAATGCACAGGAAATCTCAGGCGGACGGTCTCTGACAATTGTACCCGAAGATAATCCACTGACAGGGAACCGTTCGCGTTCAGTCATTTGCATTTATTCAGAGACAAATTCCTTGGAAAGGAGTCGACAAGACTGATGATTCTTCGAATGGTTAAAATAGATCTGTTTTGTTGCGAAAGTCTCAAGTAAGGTAAGGAAGTTGGCACGATCGCTTCAGTGTTGAAAATGTACTATTATCACTATTATTATTATTACCTTTGTTATTATTATCAGTATTATTATTTGGAGGATATATATAGAGTGTTTCACTGATTACTTATTAACAATAGAACCACCAAAGAGGACAAGATGACTGGTTTCCAGTTTCTTATTTCAAATTATAAATTTTATCGAGGTATTTTTGGTTAAATGTATGTTGGCTGTTATCGAGCTAAAGAAATTATTTAATTTTCTACGTTATTTTTAATTGAAGATCGCTTGAAGATCCAGAAGTGTTTCAAGTTTACATACCGCTAGGTCCAAGCTATTTTTCATACGAAGAGAAATTATGTACTAAACGTTTTTATATCGAACATAGAAAAAAATATTTATATTTCAGTAAAAATTCGTTGATATATTTTCAGAGTAATAAGATAATTAGATGATTTAACCCTTTGACTACTATGGACGCATATATGCGTCATGTGAAAGTGTCGACTATGGAGGTACATATGCATCCATAATTTGCTTCTTATATATTTTAACACTAAACCTACCACGCGCGGTCAAATAACCGTTTTTAAAATACGTACATGGGAAATGCGCAATCAAGAATCCTATAATTTATAAAAAATGCGGTGAAAAAGAATGAAATAGACATTATTTATTTTTAAAATAAGAAAATATTTGGTTCGCTATTTAACTGTTCATAATCTTCACTCTGTATTAAAAAATGTCTTTTTTAAAGCGGTCATTGACCGTTTACCGTAGGAAGAGGTATACATGAAATATCAGTAGGTTTAGTGCTAATCATAATCAAATACAAGTTATCAACGCATGTTACTAATTACACGCCATATATTATCAGATTACAATAATGCGATAAAACAATGGCAGAAAAATGAAAAACAAAGAGAAATAAAAAAAAATGATAAGTGTTATTGACTTAATTCTTATTTCATATACACAGATCGTTTAAGCCTAGAGAACTCAACAGTCAAAGGATTAAGTTTTATATTCTTTTCGAGTATGATACTTTTCGAAACACTCTAGAATGTATCCCTGGTTTGCGGGTGCAAGTATCGTAATAAAATTTTGTTTCACGTCCTCCCTAGAACCTTACGATCCATCTTCATACTATGCAGTCTTTTCCAGTCTCACTGCAAATGTTGTGAAGTTTTCCATTTAGTCATTGCAATTCTTGTTCAGCATGAACGCGTCCTTGAATTATTTTCCCCATCTGAAAGTCATCTACTAATTAATCTTCTAATAGTTAAGAAATTCACAGAAATGAGCTGGCACAATAATTAACTCGTTAATTGAAAATATTACAGCAATAACAATGACAAAAATAAGAAAATGATTTTTGCCGCAATACAAGCGGCATTGGACCGAATAAGTAAAAGTGCCACGCCGCGAATAGCGCTAAGTATTAATTTTCTCGAATGGAATAAAGTTAGTAACGGTGATCGACTCGGTAAACGTGTTAATCGCTCGATTATCGGGCGACGTCATCGCGTTAAGATCCATGGAGAAAATCAAGAAGAAGCAGTGCACTCGTGCCCTCCCCGGCACATACCGGTGCTCTTCAGCTTCCCTTGTCGGTACTTTAACTACCTACGTGCCGGCTCTTTGTGCCGCTGACACCCGCTAATTATAATTTGTGTCGTGAGGCAAGCAGACGGGAAAAGGGGCTAAGATGTGCTTGCATCTCGACTCTTGGTTGCAGCAACATCACACGAACTCGGTTTCTTTCCCTCTTTCTCCAGCGTTTTTGCCACTGGTGCAAGCGGTCTTCCGTCCTCGAAATACCCTGTTTTTCATCTTTCCTCTCGCCACCCGGAAATGCGAATAGCAGCCGGCTCTAATCGCCGTAACGACAGTGGTTTGCACTAAAGAAAAAGAAAGAAAAAATGAAACCAAGGAGGAAATCGAGGCCGTTCGAACTTGCCCGGAATTGCTCGTTCCTTTTTTTCTCTCTGTTCCCGCTTAAAACGTCCGTCGTTTTCTTCGAGGCGATTGATTTTGTCTCCAGACTGGACGTTTCGAAGCTGCATTATTTTTTATTAATTTTCCCTTCGCAAAATCACGGTTTAAATGTTGGAATTAATATTCGCGGATGGAATGCGCGGCCCAAAGCGTTCCAGTTCCATGGAATGAGACAAATTTTGTTGCTCGAGAGATGAAAGGGTACCGATAAACAGATGCACGTACTCCCGCTATTTCTGTCTCGTTCTTTTTTTTTTTCTTTTTTATTCAAAGGCTGTTTGTGCGTTCGCAAGGCGCGCGTGAAAAGTCGCGTAGATAAAAAGCTGGTATCAGAGAGAGAGAACGGATTGAAGGTACACAGGGATGGGGGGAGGGAAAAGCCGCGACTAACGCTCCACAAAATGCGGAAAATCTGCTTTGCAAATTTTCTCCTATGATCCACGGTACAGTCAGCGACGTTCGAGAGCGTTTCAACGCCTCGATGAATTTACGAGATATCGATTTTACTCCCGCGCTTTTAACGCTCCTCTTTCCGTACCACCGCGAATAACTTTCTTCCAAATTGACTGTCGCTAATGTCTTTTTATTCTTATTTCATAATCCCTCGGTTTATTAAAGCGCCCTCTTCGTTTCGCCATAAAAACGAGCAACAGGATGAAAGGTTCGTAGGCGATTGTTAGAGAAGTTGCTTAATTGCTAAATGCATATTGTGTTTCGCACATTTTTCCACCGCGTTTATGATGTCACGTGTCATCCGTTAGAAGGGAGCCAAGGAGAACTGCATTTCTCACCGGTGTAACCGGCGTTTATTATCTCCGCGAAGGACGAGAACGTCGAAGAAAGTCCCACGTGGATCTCCTCCGCGATTCACGGATTCTTTCGCGGATGATTCCTGCCGTTTCTGTCCCGCGGCGATTCGAAACTCGAATGCCTCCTGCAGCGAGGGAACACGAAAAGCCACGTTCGCGAACACCTTACGTTTTTTCGCCGCCGGCGTGTATTTTACGGTGATGTAACGCGACGTGATGTAAACGGGTAAAATTGAAACCAAGCAACGGCAAACACTTCTCCGTACATTATCCGTCACCTTTTTTTTTCAAAAGTTTCACTACCGTTGTATAAGAAACAACAGGAAGCACCTTTCACGTTGCTAAAATGAAAAATATTGGAAAGACCAGTAACATTATTGTTATCTTCTCGTGTAATTTAGCAAAATACTTCTATGAACATTATAACTTTTTTTTTTTCAAGAAATTTCAGTACTGTTGTACACGAAACAACAGGAAGTATTATTCGCATTACTAAAATAAAATGAAAAATATTGAAAGGGCCAGTAACATTATTGTTATCTTCTCGTGTAATTTGGCAAAACACTTCTATAAAATTATCTAGAACTATTTTTTTTTTTTTTCAAAAAGTTTCACTACCGTTGTATAAGAAACAACAGGAAGTATCATTCGCATTACTAAAATAAAATGAAAAATATTGAAAGGGACAATAACATTATTGTTCTTTTCGTGTAATTTGGCAAAACTTTTATGAACATTATCTATAATTTTTTTTCTTTTCAAAAAGTTCCACTATTGTTGTATAAGAAACAACAGGAAGTATTTTTCGCATTTTTAAAATGAAAAATATTGAAAGGACCTGTAACTCTATTGTTATCTTCTCGTGTAATTTGGCAAAACTTCTATGAACGTTATCCGTAATTTTTTTTTCCAAAACTTTCACTACCGTTGTATAAGAAAGAAGGGGAAGTACCTTTCACATTGCAAAGATGAAAAATATTGGAAAGACCAGTAACATTATTATTATCTTGTATAATTTGGCAGAACACTTCTATGAACATTATCCGTGACTTTTTTTTCCAAAAATTTCACTGCCATTGTATAAGAAACAACAGAAAATACGTTTTGCGTTACTAAAATGAAAAATATTAGAGAGACCAGTAACATTATCGTTATCTTCTCGAGTAATTTGGCTAAACACTTCTATGAACATTATCTATAACATTTTTTTTTTTCAAAAGTTTCATTACCGTTGGATAAGAAACAACAGGAAATGCCTTTCGCATGACTAAAATGAAAAATATTGGAATGATAACGTAATCGTTATCTTCTTGTGTAATTTGGCAAAACCCTGCGGTTCCCAGTCGTTAGGAAATTTGCTAAAACCACAGATCCCGTATTCAGTCCTCGGTTAAGTCCGTCAAAAACTTTGATCATCGCGGTACGTTGCGAAAATTTGGCAAAAATCCGTGGCACGGAAAACTTTGCTAAATCCCTGCTCGACGAGCCCCGAGGGCACAGTGGAAAGTAACTAATGGAGACGAAACTTTGTTGTTACAGAAGGTGGACCCCGAGCTGATATTCACGAAACAAGAACGAATTGGGAAGGGTAGTTTCGGCGAGGTGTTCAAAGGCATCGACAATAGGACCCAGCAGGTTGTCGCCATCAAGATCATCGATCTCGAGGAGGCGGAGGATGAGATCGAAGATATACAGCAGGAAATCATGGTGCTGTCACAGTGCGACAGCCCATACGTCACCAAGTATTATGGGTCCTATCTCAAGGTAAGCCTTTGATGCCGTTAAACATAAATCTTTCACGATATTGCTATCCGCCTCTATAGCGAATATTTTCTCCCTATTTTTCTCAAATTCCATGGCCCTTCGGGTATAGTCGACGGGTAAACTACTCGTATGGGGGTGTAAAAAAAGCCGCAGCCAGGGAATTGTCGGTTGCCGTCGACGAAAAATCCACGCTCGCCACGCCTTTCTGTCGCCGTTCCGACTCGATGAACATCCACAATACTTTGAGAGGTGTAACGAGAACTTTAGACCCTTTGGTCCACTGTTAGGCACACTCCGTCGATACGCCCTCGTCATTTTTCATACGCGAAGAATAGGAAGGGCTCGACGCTCGGTTAACCATCGCTTCCGGCTCGACAGTGTCGCACAGACGCTTCCGCTTCCCGCGGTCGCTTCGGCATCAAAGTATCGGGATATAAAATCGCGTCTGATGATAAAATTCTGTAAATTGATTTTTAAATCGCGTCATTGTTTCGACCAGCACGAGCATACTTGGATCGAACAGCCGGGCAAACAACTAATGTTCGTTAATGACCGGTCCGCGCGATCATTAAGGAAAGTTCTCGACGGGGCTTAATATCGGGCGCCGCTTCATTTCATAGGTAATCATCTTAATTTTCCGCTTCCCGTGGCCGGAAACTAAGGGAGGCCCACGTTGCTGCCGCTGTAATCCGTTTCCTCATTCCCTCTGCTCCCACCGGGAATCGGCCGGCTTGCTTCTACCCTTGTCTCGCAATTAACGCTCTCGCCTCCCCCTTCGTCTATCGTGGAAGATAACGATCGTTTTGATTCGCTTTCAAACATATAGGAAAATATAATGGAATATTTCCAGTCTCGCATCTTCCATGAATTTTCTATATTTTATCCAAAAAAAGAATAACCAATCCATTAACACTAGAACTATCAAACCACTTAAAATCACTGGTTTCAGGTTTCTTATTTTAAATTATAAGTTTTACCAAGGTATGTTTCTTAAAACGTATGTTGGCTATTGTCGAGAGCTATTATTCTTCCAAAATAAAAGCGTTAAGAAATTTTTATTAGTATCATATATAAGGGCATATTACGTGAAAGGATTCTACAAAAGAAATCAACGCTATTTATTTGCAGAAAGTTCAAAAATTCAAAAAAAAATAATGGTTGTTTTTCATTGTGTAACAATTTTGCGGTACATTATTTAACATATTATAGTTAATATTTTGTAGCCATGCCTTTTGCAGTAATAGCAGCAGCACAGTGACGAGGCATAGATTCAATTAACCGAGTAATGTAGTCGTGTCGTATTTTATTTCATTCTTCTATTAAATTTTGAAAAATTGTGTCTTAGAACTTCTATGATTTTTTATTCGACGTTTCATCTTTCCCTAAAAATACTCTATTGGATTTAAATCCGCAGATTGAGAAGGCCAATCTATTTGTAGACAATCACCTTTTTGCGATTTTTGATGCATATTTGAGATCGTTTCATGCTGAAAGAACCAATTTTCAGGCATTCTTCTTTCAGCATATGGTTCATATGAGTTTCTAAAATCTCTTTATACGGGGCACTATTTATGACACCCTCAATTTTTATAGGAGAACCACTCCTTGAGCGGAGGAAGCTCCCCATACCATAATTCTTCCTCCACCCTGTTTAACAGTTGGTGTTTGGTACCTGATATCATTTCTTGTACCAACTAGACGTCGTACATACTGTCTTCCATCGCTGCCGAACAAATTAAATTTAGATTCCTCTGAAAAAAGAACAGCTTTCCAATTTTCAACAGATCAGTCACAATATTTTTTGGCAAACATTAATCGGGCTTCTGTAATTTTCTTAAAAATTTCTTAACGCTTTTCTTTTGGAAGGAAAACCATCTGACCAGGAACTTTTGCATGCCACTGTATATATCAAATTATGTTTCATCCTTTATCTATTTAATTTTCTACATTATTTTCAATTTTCAATAGGTGTGCATTAAACGTTGATAGTTCTAGTGTTAACCCTTTGCCCTGCAATATTGTGCCACCCTCGTGACGCAACTTACAGTTCAAATGTGTCAAATTCAATTGATATTTTTAATCCTAATTATAATTTGCTCAATCAAAGATCGTTGAATATTATATATGCATAAATTTCATTTTTCTTTATTTGTTTGAAAATTGAGCCAATAAATTAACTTTGACTGATGCAACTATCGACAAAATCATAAGCGAAATGGTTAAGGCTTTCACGACCCGATTTGTCATAATTGATCGAGGGTGCGTTATTAGCACCCCTCGGGGGGCGAGAGATCCATTGATAAGAAAACCTCGAGTAATTATCCAGAAATATTCTCCTGATTTCCAATCATTGGTCACAGTCAGTTCCATTATACGAGACCCCTCTGTTCCAGAGTTTATCAATTACGAAACAGTTTCTCTCTATATATCCTGCTTTAGCCTCGATGATCCAGGATTGCCGGTTACCACGAACAGATTACGGCGTTACGTGAATGCAAGATACGCGTTTGATATTGATTTTTCAGGAATCGCGGCCTGCCGTCGCGGTAATAACGGCATTAAACCGAGATATCTGTACGTGTGTTGCGTACGATTATATCCCACGGCACGCGGCTATTGTGCCGCCATTAATCACAGCCGTGCGCACAAAAGGATCCTCCATCCTCCGCAATCTTCGTTCTCGATACCTATTCTACGTCGATGCGACGAAAAGATCCGCGAGAGAGAGAGAGGGAGAGAGAGAGCGAACAAAAGCACCGGGCCTCTTCCGGAGATTTCCTCACTCTCGTCTACGAGATTTCATTTTCCACCATCCCCCTTTCAACTCCTTCGTGCTTAAGCATCTTTCTCTCTTTTTATTTCCTTGCGTCATCGCGGGAACAATGCGTTGGGAATCGATGACACATCCGGGACGATTGTTGCTCCGAAAGAAATGCAAGGGGATTCATTTATATGCTCGCAACTTTGAATTTATGAAAACGTCAATTTTATTTTTGACTAATGCAAGCAGTTTTAGCGGTTTTAGGGGAAGGCGCGATCGACGGGAAACGGATTTTCTTGAAACTTGCAGTATTTGAAGATGTCCTCTCCAAATTTAATTTGCAAAAACAGTAGCGCGCGCCTCTCAAGATTTTCCGAGAAAATTGCATAAAAATTGCTGTACTTCGTTATAAACAATTTGCGAAATACTGCTAATCAGTAGGTTGATGGTTCGAGTCTCGCTCTGGATATTTTTTTTTTCTATGTGTTATTTTTATGTTCGATTTCCTTCCCAATGCCTACAAAAAAAAACATGCATTTTCTATATGAAACATAAATGTAACTGTTCATTGGTGTAGATTTCATCAATTTTAGGTTAAAAATTGAGGTAGGTATCAATTAAAGATGAAAAAAAAAAATATCGAAAGCGAGACTCGAACCAGCAACCTACTCATTACCAGTATTTCACGATTTTCTCGGAAAATCTTGAGAGGCGCGCGCTACTGCTTTGGCAAATTAAATTTGGAGAGGACATCTTCAAACACAGCAAGTTTCAAGAAAATCCGTTTCCCGTCGATCGCGCCCTCCCTTGTTAGACCTATTGAAAGCAACGTACTGTCGAGGGATGGAAAGAACATTAGGAAAAGGAATGCAGGTGCGATTGGTCGGAGTCGGTACGTCGCGCCTCACGCGCATGCGTTCTGGATCATCGCGCGCTATTGGCCGATGCGATCAGACGCTAATCGCGTCGCCTGACAAAGAAGAAAAATGAGACTTCGCGACAAAGCGAGACGGTACGAAGTCAGCGTTGCGGCAAACTTTGAACGCGAGGATCAAACGTGGGGACGGGGCGGAGCGTGCGAAGTGCTCCCTGTTCCCCTGTGCCGTCCCGCTAATGTTCTTTCCATCTCTCGACCGTACCTGGTTGATGTGATCGCGTAACGGGTGAATCTGTTCCTCTCGAAGCCTCTCTTCCTCGGTCTGGGAACTGTTATTAAGTCGACCAACTTGGTCAACAACAGTTATCGGCCTACCGTGGCACTCCGTCGCTCTCCCGGCTACTCGCTTTAACGCCAGTTCGCTGAAATACGCGTGCACGATTCATAAAATTCTCCTCCATGATTGTGAGAAAGTTTCTGAACGCGTTCCGCGTGAAATTAAAGCTTCGCGACAAACGAGATCGGCTGGTATATACTATGAACCTTTGCCTTTGTTATTTTCGAGATCCTTTTTAAAGTCTGATTAACGGCCTTGAGGGTTAATCCAGGTGTCGCCGCAGCCACAGCGAGAAGAAAAAGCTCCGGCTAAATGAAAACCCTCATTTTTCCCCCTTTCCGCGATTCTAGCCGCGAGTTTTTCTCACCCGACCTGATCCCTGTCTGCTTTCGAAATCGCAAATGAGAATGCTGCGGGGATTCGTATCTTTTTCTCCGTGGAGCGCGAAAAATGAACGACAAACGCGGACGTTTCGACGTAGGTTGGCCGAGGCGAGCAATAACAGGCACCGTACTTCGCCGACACACCTCGACGTTTCCCAATCCGGATGCATCGAGGATGATGAAGGGTGTGATCCTCCTCTCGCCGTCTTCGCCATGTTTTCCTCTCCGCGGATGAATCATTTTCCCTTTTATAGTTTGAGGAAGTGAGGTACTGCAGTTTAGACCGAAGCGTTTGATCACTGCTGTCTGTTTCCACTGTAACGCTTTGTTTGCTTTAAGTTTTCTTTCATTTATTATTATTATTTTCCCTTTTATTAGTTTGAGGAAGTGAGGGAACTGCAATTTAGACCTGTAGGAGAGGGGAGAAAAAGGCGTTTCGTCTCGAGATCGTCTGTCAGACTTATCAGTGGGGCTGATAACAGACGATCCATGCTCCAGACACCCATCACACCGCAATTTGGAACTCCTATATATTTGAACTGAAATGCCGAGCGACCGCTTGCGAGAACACTGTCACCCCGATCATCTCGCCGCCACCTAGCGGTCCCTAACGAAACCCTTTCTCCCCCTCCACTAAACGCC